GGTTGAGTCCCCATCCCTGGAAGTATTTAAAAGACGTGTAGATGAGGCACTTAGGGACATGGCTTAGTGGGCCTGGTGGTGTTGGGTTGACGGTTGGACTCGATGATCTTAGAGGTCTTTTCCAACCTTAATGATTCTATGATTATTACAGAGCTACTTTCACAGTGGAACATTCAGCTGCCTTAGTGATGAAACAACACATCCAGATTTGGTTTGAGTGTCTTTCCAGGTAGGAAGGTTCCACAGAAAAACTGGAATGAGAAGGAAACAACATTCTTTGGAGATATAAATTTGCAGGAAAGTTCAGGATACCTTTTTGCAAAGAATTTCATATAAGAATTCTCAGGCTGTCATAGGTAGAGGGGTGGGTGGTAGGGCAAGTGGTGGTTTTGTTTGGTTTGTTTTAATTTCCACAAAGCAAAAAAAAGCCTATTGCTCTAGACCTAGTGACAAAAGTAGGTATGGAAAGATGCATCAGCTGAAGTGCAGTTCTGTTTTTATGCACATTAAGTACTCCTCCAAAAAACAGCTTCCTGCTTGATTTCATTTTGCTTTTACAAAGGGATATATGACATGTCTTAACGATGACTGTAGTTGTTACTCTTCAGAGCATCTCTCTAAAGGTTTTATTTTCATCCATCACTGTAGTATCTGAGCAACTAACATAAAGCAGTATTCATATATTCATAGCAAAGTTTCAGGTAAACTCCATGTGGTCTCTGGCACTTTATTTTCTCCCCCCCCCCCCCCCCGCCAATTTAGGAGGGCGTGCACAGAATCAAAACTTTGAGAAGTTCTTGGATTTGATTTTAGCTTCCTTTTTTCTGGTAACTTGGTTAATAACGGCTTTTGGACATAAAGTTGCCAGTGTTCTTTCTTTGATAAATGCTTTTGTTGCATTCCAGATTCAGCCAATATTGAGTAGCTGGTTGCACAATTTCTTCTTGGCTGTCAGTGATTTATCTTTAGCTTTGTTATGTAGCTTTCATAGTGACTCTAAATGGAGATTAATGTAATGCCTGTAGACTATGATTTGCTACTCTGAAAATTAGTATCAGTACTTTGTTTGTCCTGGAAGCTAATTAATTTCTGAGCGACTTGTCTTCCAGTCAATCGCCCCCATAAACAGAGACATCATGAAGAAAATAAAAGGTCCTGCCCTGTCTGCTGGGTCTCATGCCACTGGTCAGAAATCCACATGGAACAGAGGCAGACCCTGGCTTTGTCACACTTGCTGCAGCTCTCTGAAGAAACGCTCCATAGCTGCAGATTTGGACTGAATGGTTTAATAACTCCTAGACCAATTTTTCCAAAGTTACAAAGATCAATTACCATCATTCATTTGATTTCCAACAGGTAGCTCATTAAATTGGCAACAAATTACGTACTGTCTTTTCATCCAGTGTCTTGTCCCTACAGGTTAAAAGACCACCTCATATATTCTTAGCTCTTACTCAGTGAAAGCTCCTCTGCTCTATCGACGTGTCACAGGATGGGTTGTCACTGATGAACACGATGTAATTTATGGGTTTATAGTTTTAGGACTAACAGCTTAAACCTGAGTTGCTTTTTCACTTTGTCCTGAATCAGGGTGTGAGTCTCTAGTGAATCCTTGCCCTGTCATGCCATGGCACAGCATCTTCCATGGTGGTTACCCAGGAGGTCCACACTAATTCAATCACCTACAGCATATCCCTTTGCAAACTGCAGCCAACAGGAGCTACACACAGTCTTCTTAAAGCTACATGATGTTTAATCTTAGCGAGAAAACGGGACACCAAGAAAAGGATTTGAATAGAAAATGAGAGTCAGTTTGTCTTCCATAAGGGTTTCTTGTGCTGCATTAGGAGCCTACGCAGACTTCGTCTCCTGAAGGCTTATGAATTGTTGCAGTCTGAGGCAGTTCTGACCTCTTGTAATCTTGCTGTAAAACCTCCAGGTTTGAGCCTCTTGGGGGGAAAATTGTCTTCAGGCTTAGCGTTGGGCTGAGTTACTGTGGGGATTAAAGCGGCACAGACTCTGGCAGGCAGCGACCAAAGACCTTTATTGCTCTTTGTTAGCATCTTTTATAGCAAGCAGAAGCGTACACGCACTACCTGCAGCTTGCAGAGAGGTTATAGCCTTGCGTTCACACATATCTATGCTCTAGCAGATTGACCCATTCTTCCTCCTCCTTCATTTGTTGCAAAATGCCTTTACGGCCTTTATCTTGTTCTCTCCTTCCAGCTGCAGCACATTCCTTTTCCTCCTTTCAGCTGCAGCATATTGCTTCCTCTGTTATCTTCTGTTTATGTGCCTTCTCGTGCCAGGTGGTACAATGTTTGCTCATTAAAATCAAACTCGGGAGATTCCCATCCCCACAAGTTACAGCATCAAGGTGAACAGGCAGGAAACGCACACCAGCGGGAATTATTCTTCCCTCCTGGGTACATTGCCTGACAAACCTGTAACATAGTCCATTAAGCTGATGCAGTGGTCAGTGTTCATAACAATTTTAATACATTTGGTAAACAAGTCACAAAAAAAGGTTTAACAACATTAAAGTGTTAGTCAAGCACACACAAAAATGAGAAGCGCAAATCCATTCTGTGCGTTTTCATTTCTTCTTCTGTTACTTTTCTTGCCTGGCTTTTCTGAAGCCTTTGCTTCCCTGCTGTATTTATTTTTCTCTCCTTCGTTTTCTTCATGTCTTAGATTCCTTGAAAGTCACTGCTTTTTAATCTACACATAAATACGTAATCTATTACATTTAACTTAGTCATGGACAATCTTTATCATCTCTAAACCTAAACTCTGGCTTTTTAGATTTGGTATTGCGGGGTGATCTGCCAAAGTTTCCAAAAAAGGTTAAAAACACCGGAATAAAAACAAGACCGTGAAGAGCCCCAAACAAAATAACAAGGAACATGATCTTGAAAAATGTCCTAAAGATGTAGGCTTTTGCTGCAGCCAGGACAACTACTCCTAATATAGTAGAAACTGCACCTTGTAATACTGGGTAACCTAGCAGGGACAGAGCTTCAATTGCCCTTTTATTGGCTGATGACTCTCCACTCGTAACAAAGGCATAGGAAATATGAGCAGAAAAATCTACTGAAAACCCTATACAAATTACCAGGTTGATCATGGATATAGAATCTAGATTGACGTACCAAAATGTCATGAAACCAGCAACACCAACTATAACAGAAGCTATAGCAAAAGTCACCCACAAGCAACACAACGGGTTGGGAATGAGCAAAAGGGAGACAACGAGCATTGCCCCAGCAGCAACGACAACGTTCTGAATGGTGTTCTGCACTATTACCAGGTACTGATCGTAGTAGATGAACGCAGGGTGGTACACCATTAATGGAACACTGCACTGCTTGGCTGTCTCTCTTAACTGATTGAGAAGATTCTTCTCATCAACAGCTGAGGTCACGTTCACCGTCTGGATGAAGAAACGTGAAGCTTCTATTTCATCCTGAGTCTTGTTAATGTCCCACTCAAAACTGGGAACAATTTTTAACAGGGTAGGTAAGTTATTAATGAAAAGAGTCTTATTGCTTATATTTATCAAGCCCCATTTGGCAAGTTTTGTGTATACTCTCAGCCATGACTCTGAGAGGTTCTTATCTACATAGGAAATGCCCTCTAAATTCTGTGTGCAGTTCTCAATGCCAAGATGAACAGTCTCATTCCAGTAATCTACACTTTCAGTAATGACAACCATGACCCTGGGTCCATATGCTGAAAAGTATTTGTCGTCATCATCATAGTATGGAATAACGTAGGAGTCATCACTCGCCAGATTTCGAAGATCGATGCCTTCCTTGATCTGAGTACATCCATAAATACTGCCACCCAAATATGCTCCGTACAGCAACACCACAAGTAGCTTGATCCACTTATTTGTAAAAAAAGGACCATAATACTTTTTAAAGAATATGATCATTGGATGTTCACTTTCTGGCTGAGATGACTGCCTAGAACAGCTGCCTATACAGCAAGCATTGTACAAGCAGGACTTCTCAGCCTGATCTTCATCTACTCTCACAGGCATACAAGTCAGCCAGTGTCGGTTTTCTTGTTCGCTTTTATGATTTAATACAATAATTGCCCCAAAGAAGGTCATGGTATATAAATAGCAGAAGACAAAAGCAGTGCCTGTATAGAGGCAAAATGATCTCACGGACGGAAAAGCAGTCCAGGTGCCAATGAAGAAGGCCAAAACATCTGTGAGAGTGGTGATGGTCACAGAAAGGGCTGCTTCTGCGTAAGTCTCGGCCAACCGAGATTTAACATCGGATTTCTCTTTCTTTCTGGAACTTTGTTCCCAGGAAGCAATCATGATGAACATGTCATCAACACCAACTCCTGCGGGAGCAGAAAAAGTTAACGCTGCATTGCAAAAGGCACCTTCCACTAATGCCCAACAAAAGTACAAAATGAATCGCATTTAAGTCTGCATAAAATTTTGAAAAACAAAGTTAGGCTATTAACATTGCTTCAGTGCTGATGCAAGTTAAACAGATACAGGAAAACAGATGCTTTGTGTGTAGCTGAATTTATTGCATTTCAGCAACTCCCGGTGACCTGATGGGTTGTTGATCCCTCAACTCTACTCTGCTGAAGGACTGAGCACACCTAGTCTACCTGTGACAAGTGTGTTGTATCTGCTGTCCAGTGATTACATAGATTTAAATACATCGCTTATTCTCATGCTCAACTATCCTTATCACTAGAAGCATCCCCCACTACCTCTGGAATCTCTTCTTCATCACTGCTGCAAATTAGACCAGTAATTTATTGCTCTGTGTTCAGCACACAGGGAGAGCAGTGGCTATCACATGGGAAAACAGTCATCCCAGTTTTCCAGTGGCTCGCTTTTTTATGCTCTTTGCTTTCCACTTACCTTCTCTCCAGTTTATCTTTGAGCATCTATTCATGATTTATTACTCATTTATCTTCACATTTATACTGATGTGCCTGCATATATAACCCACCAGAGTCCTGGGAAACCCTGCCAGGAAGACTGGATCCTGGGCTAGAGTTTTTGCTAAGACACGAGTAAGCGAGCCGAAGTTCAAAAAGGAAGAGCCAATGTGTTTCTCTCAGCTCTGCTAACTCTCGAGATTTTAATCACAGACCTTTCAGTATTTTGCCAATATTAGTGTATCAAGGGCTTTTCTATTCCCTGAAAATTAAATTAATCACACAAAAAAGGGAAGCAAGACAGCATGAACAGAGGAGCAAGCAAAAACTATATAGCTAAGCATAAAAGAATAGAAGAAATCACTATCTGCTGCCTGAACAATCAATTGCCAGTAAACACGCAAAATTATTTGTAAAACTGGGTAGGTATCTCGATCAAAGGCATTCAGGGAAAGCACTAGTACAGGGCTAGTCAATGTGTTAATCGAGAAAACAGAAAATACATTTAAATTCCCAGTGACGTCTGGGAAAGGTTCCAAGCACTTCAAGGGGTACGATCAACTCACAGCAAGTTTGATAAACGGGAGAAATAAACTGGGCAAATACTAATTTAATTGCTTTTCAGAATTACAGTAAGTCAATGAACAAAGCACTCCAGAAACAAACAAATAAACAAAAAAGGACTGCACAAATATAAAATGGAGAATAACTGGTTAAGTGGCAGAAAAAGATCTGGGTGGAGGGAGGAAGGACAGGAAATGGAGAGCTATATGACAAACAGGTAAGAAAAAAGCTTGATGTGTGAAAGATGGTTAGAATCCATTAGCAGGAAAGACATATGGATAGGTGCTGGTCCAAGAACACAGGTAGATTAGTGGCAGGTGGCTGAAAGTACTTTTACCTTTGGCTGTCTTCCCTGAACCTCTCCCAGAAACTGCATTCTGCATAGCAGGTACAGCTGAACATACCAGCTAGCATAGTTAGATAAACCAAACTTGGAGTTACGCTACTATGTCTGGCTTTAAAAATACAGCACATCAGAAGCTGCTCTAAGTGAAGGTCAGCTATCCCTACTGAGCAAGATAGTGTCCAGAAAAAAGGTGGACCAGACAGGGGCTGTATCATCTCTGATATTAATCTGTCTGCATACTTGACTATTCAACACTGTGGAAGACAGCACGATAACAGTTCTCTAATGAATAAAGGACTGTTAAAAAATAATAATAATAAAATCAACTATGTTCCATGTATGTGGAAGAACAAGGAACAATCAACTTAAAGATATCAGGGAAGCCTCAAAAGTTCTTGAGATAATTACTAGAAACAGTGTCCTGTTTAATTCTCAAGAAGTTCTTAAAAACATTTGCCAGGAGTGGTTTAGTTAGATCCTGCCTTGCAGCAGTGAGGGCAACCTCATGAGGCTCCCTCCAGGCCTCACCTTCTATGATTTTGATGAGATGGTTTTCTTAAAAAAGCCCCTTCTAGCATACCGGGGTTAAGTAGCAATCTCAGTATTCAGCCCTCCCACTCACGCCTATTCCTTATAACTGCGAAGGAAAGTTTGAAAATGTTACCTGAACACACCGTAAAAACAACCAACCATGTAAACCCACAAACCAAAAAAAGAAAACACACAGAATTGTTATTCTAGAAAAAGACTCATGATTTTTAACCAGGCCTCTGACTTTTAAATGCTTGGGACTGGCTCTTAGATCTCAGGAGATCAGCCAGAAACCAGGAACAAGATAAGCAGGAAGTGAAAAGGTAATACTGGATGGTGGCGAGCCAGACTGCTTCCAGAAAGCAGGCAGGCTTCAAAAGCAATTCATCTTATGTACTGGTAATTTGTTTGCTTTAACGTGAGGAAGACGGAAGTCTGCATGTTATTTATAAAGATCTGAAGAGACTGGCTTAAGCCCTTTTCCAGGTATACAAAAGGGTCTTTGTGACATTAAGAGCCTGTGCATTTGATGAGCAAATAAATGTAAATACAAAATGCATTTGAATTATGCAGGAAACAAAGAAACTACGCATCTCCTAAGGAGTATTTGCATTAGACATCCAGTATGATGCGGAGCCTCTATCAACCCGGGAGTTCCATGTGCTTTCCTCAGCATGAGACCAAGACCAAGAAAACATCACATGAATTTATCATATAGGAGACCAGATAAGGATTTTAAAAGCAGTAATTTATTTGCAACAACATTATCTAATGGTATTTGGAAAGTTCAGCGCTGGCTGTCAAGCAGTCTGTGCAACGGCGATGCAATGATACTAACTTCCTTGCACTTTTGGGGGGAGCTGGTTGCACGAATGGTGCATCACTTCAGTTGTACAGCTAAATGATACTGTTTACTACATAGTCATTATATTGCAGAGGAAATTTCACATCTTAACAAAACGAGATGGATTTCTTATTTGAAATTACAGACAGTCCTGCTTATTGCTTAAGCCGTATTCAGGCCCAATTTTATCTGACCAAAGACTACACTCTGGAAATGGGATACAAAAAGTTACGGTAACTTACTTCCCATATTCACCTCATAATACAGGTACTGGATTAAGTCAGTGCTAGTGTAGCATGAGCTGCACGCTGGACACATGTTCCATGGTGCTGCTGTTGACCTTCCCTGAGGCTGACTAACAGCAGAGAAGTAGGGAGCTCTCACTACTGCAAAAAGAGGTGGTGGATGGTTTGGGGAAGACCTCTGCACCTGCTTAAACTGCTAACAAATTCAGCAGTTCCATAGAACAGTACTAACAACAAACTGATTTGGGGTAGACAAACTTATCCAGAGCTAATGAGGTATGTAAATGCTTATAGTACGCCTACAGAAAACAGCAGGGGATGATACAGAGGAATACAGTGACAGAACCCTGTTGAGCTCACCTCAAGCATTAGCAATAGTTAAATAAATGATTAATCAGCATGGCTAAATTACCAGGGACGCTCGAACGATGCCAGAAGTGCTAACCTTACCACCCTCTCATTTATAGTTTTCATGCCATAGCAGTGGAAATAGAGCAGGCATCGTTTTTTGGGAAAAGCTGCCCTTCCACCAGAGCCGGGCTCCTGTCCCAGTGAGGATTTGCTGAGCTGAGTGGCTCACCCACCTGTAGGAGCTCAGAGGCTGGACCTCCAAGTGTCCCCCCCCTCACCGCAGGATGGAACTGCGTGTGATCTGATGCTCTTATTGTAAGAGTAACACTGTCAGGTTGTTTTAACTCCACTTTAGTCTTCATATTTGAATCCGACTTGCTTTTTCTACTTACCTAGAATAAGAAATGGTGCGTTTGCTACAGTGACCACAAACGGCACTCCACAGAAGAGCATCAATCCAAAGCTGCTTAATACGGCTAAACCAGCAGAAATCACTCCACAGCATGCAAGCCAGACGTTATTTCTTATACAGCTCAGTCTGAAAATATTTTAAGGAATATCTTAGTTACATGTCAAATATTTCACCAAGGTGTTTGGTAGGACAAGTGAGTATTCTGCACAGATACCAACAGTATCCCATCTGTGAAGAGAACTCTTGATGAAAGCTGCTATTTGCGGGAGAGCTCCCAGGTGTCAGCATTGGACAAGATTAATTTATACAGGAGATGCTAAATATATTATTACTGCTAGCCAGTTATATACATAAGAGTAAAGATGTGTACTAATCTTTGCATCAGTAACAAGAAAGCTGGCAAAATGAAAATACGTAAGCTCTACCAGTGAGAAGCTAGATTTAGGGTGACCCAAAAAATTATGAATTTTCAGAAGCTCCTTCCTTTTACACAGGTTCTTGGTGTAGCATATCAGTGCAGTAGGGAAGCATCTCCCAGGCAGTAAGTGCTGTGTACAGAAGCTTTCTCAGCAGACAGATTGGCTACCAGCCATTTGCCAAGACGCCCTGGAGGGCTGGCTCAAGGATTCCCTGTGAAACGCTCCCAGTGGGAGACTTTGCATGTGATGCCATTGACAGCACCACACTGAGTGGGTAGAGAGTTGCCTCTTTCCTGATTAGTAGTATTTTCCAGGCTGTAGACCATTTCTGAACTTTGAGAACCTCTCGCTTCCAAGGCAAGAAGCATGTGTTGGTGGAACTGTCCTTTGTCTGCGCTTACGAACGACTGGGCCTGAGACAGCTGACGCCCAGAAATTGTATAGCCTAATTGTATAGCTTGATGCAAGCACTAACCCAATAAGCCCACCCTCCGAGTAGAACTTTATTTCTCAAGCACAGCACACAAACACTGCCGTACGGTTGTCAAATGTACAATGGTTCACCTTCCACCAGCACAAAGGGCAGGCTAAGTTCTTTGTGGACGGCAGCTAAGGCTCAGACTCTATTAGCAAGCAGAATACCTAAAGCCATACCCGACTTGCAGTAACCTATGAAGCTACTGCTTGGTCATCTGTACTTTAACTGAGCAGGTAGCACAAAAAAGGTACAAACAGATCTCAGCATGGTATACTTAGTATCTTGCAGGCAGGATGAGGACAGAAGCTACGAATGAAGCAAGAAAGTAGTAGAATAACCTTAGCAATAGCACCACTTATTCCTTCCCTCCCCCCAGATGATGACTTTTCTGTTTGACTTTTACACATCTTTTCAGTGAACGTCTCCACTGGGTATGCCACGTTGAGCTGGTAAGTTTTATTCAACAGAAGTGCTTGTGTGGAATTCTGCTGCTGCCAGGCTGGCTAGATCACGCTTCTGGCCCCCTTCCTGCATAGGGTAAAGTAGAACCCTTTCATAGTTAAAAGCATTTACTTTGGCATAGTGTTTTTCAGTGCCAAAGCACAGCACATCAGACCTCTTAAAAAGATAAAGAGTAGAGGGTTGTTTCAGTTGTTTAAATAGTTCCAAAACTATCAGCTACAAAAAGGATTCTTATGAGGCGGGCACAACAGAAATAACTGATAGCTTCAAAGAACAGACAAATGGATTCTAGTATTCAAGCTGTGTGTGTCTGAACTGAACACTTGTTCACATATTCATCTGATACTTATCACGAACCCCGTTTAAGCGGTTGGGAAAAAACACACAAGTAGGAGAGAATCAGCAAAGAAATACATGTTGCCTATTATTACATGAAGTCTGCAGGTTCAAAAATGACTTCATTTTACAAGAGCAGAAACCAATTTAGGCAAGGTAAACAAGAGTGAAGGTCACTTTTCATTGATCCATAGCTTAGAAGACATTTTACCTTAGGCAAGAGACAACTGAAAAGGTTATTGTCAAGAAATACGTTATGGAGAAGAGCGGGATCACGCTCTTGGTATTTCCTTCAAACTCCTGTTGTCTGGACAGCGAGGTAAAGTAAGTCACCTGTCATTAAAACAACACGGAAAGAAAAGATGAAGCACTCCTACTCTTTTTCTTGGTCTTGTATACACATGCACAGGCAATGCTAAACATCATGTTGGCACTAACGCATTTCCGTGGCCCTCAGAACCCCCAGAAGTGCCGCTTGCACCAAGCAGAGGCCAAGGACAGTACATCGCATGAGCAGTGCAGAGTGGATGACACTGGAAGCACTGCTTGGAGCGCTGCAGCTAAGCCTACAGGCCGGCCCCCCCCTTTTTCCTCCACCATCTCCCTTCTGGCGATGGGGCAGCCCGGGCATTTCTGGTCTCGGCGGCCCCTGCACGGCTGTACCCACTGCTGCGTTACCTGAATGGAGGTGGAGTTCAATGCCGCCAGCTTCACCGGGATGTCCTGCTGGAAGCTTTCCAGCCACCCCCGCCTCTCCGCCGCCGTGGGGCCGT